CATATTATAAGGTAAGGTTATAAAACCACCATTTAAGATCATTTTAGTGAAAGTTTCATGTTCCTATCTCATAGAATTTAAGAACAATGATGAATAAATAATTTTCGAGCAAAATTTAAATGGCCGGCTGAATATATTACCGCAGGAGCCGCGGCCGCGGAATTTAAATGACCACGTCAAAGGGTTAAAGTAATAAGTGGTGGATTGACCAGTATTATTATTAGTGTTCACACATCTGTGAATAGATGCTCCAAAATTAAACCAAATAAAACTATACTGTTACAATGCAGCTACCATATACTAAGAAATAAATGACACATTATCAGTAGACTGGCAGATAGTTCAGTTTGTGCGGTGATGGTCTACAGGCTGGATAGCTGGGATTGGATTCTGGGCAGGGGAAAGAGGTTTTTCTCTTCCATACAGCATTCAGACCAGCTCTGGGGCCCATTCAGTGTCCTATCCAATAGGTTTTGAGGGTGATTTCCACAGGGGTAAAGTGGCTGCGGCATAAAACTGACCACTCACCTTCATCTAGAGTCAAGATCAAAAATGGTGGAGCTGTATCACCTTTGCCAATAAAAGAATTATGAAAGTACAGAAAAGATTTATGCAACATTATCAAAATATTCTTTGCTTTAATTATGTATTCAGTTTATTGTAGTTGTGTTGAAACTAAAACCTTTAAAATCCTCAAATGTGTAAGATTTATACATGTTTATACATTTCAGCCCAATATTTTATTTCCTCTCATTCCCCTCCTCCTGTACTGCCAAGGTTTAAATTGCTAGGGCCTCTTTCAAGTCTAAGTACTCAACCATACACCTTCCCCAGGATCTGTACTGTATTGCTCTTTTAGGCCGTCCATTATCCTTCTTCCTTTCAACATAGGCCCTCCGATGCCTTTACATTTCTCAGTATCCTCTACTACTAACCAGAATAAGTTGCATTTTAAAGGTCTATTAATGTTATACATAATGCCAAAACTGAATGGACAATCAGTGGACCAACTATTCTAAAATATACTTTAACAAGTTGATTCTCATCATTCATCACTGAAATGGACTGCCTAGGACAGACACCGAGTGGAAAAGTTTGCAGGAACATTTAAATGTGTGAATGCCTGTCAGTCATAGGAAGTCCTGCAGGCATCATCAAATACAGCTGATCATGATGGTCTGATACCAGTCCAATGTGAATATTCAAGCAAACTGGGAGTCCACTGATAGTCCATTCCCTGTCAATAACATAACATGAAGCCTGAATGGACTTAAAATGTTTGATTGTGCATATGGTCTCTCAAAATATATCCTGCAACTGGATTGAGAAATCGCATCTGCTGTGTAACCTAATCTCTTCCTGTCCATACTTTCCAGAATCTACATTTCAGATCCCAACAGTATGAAAACTTTTGCTGCTACTTTGCTGGTTATTTAATGACACCAGTATTGAGACCATAAAGTGTTACATGATGGGATGGTTAATGAATGTGGTTCAGCAGGTGGAATGAGATCTGGCTCGACAGAAAGTGTACCAGTGCCAATTTATCCACCACAAATCCCACATGTTCTGACCTGGGACAGAAGCCAGGTCTCCATAGTGGGAAGCTAATGATGTGAGCTATCATTTGGCTGCAGGTATGCATAATGCATACCATGACCACATGAATAAGTCTGCCTTATGAAATGTGATAACTCTGGTATAATTAAGGTAGAAATACTTGAAGATACACACACGTGCGCACAAGATAACTGAGGTTAATATGAGAAGCTGTAAAATTTCTAATTCCAGATGCTTTCTGAGATATCCATCCACAATACCTTATGCTGCAGTTAAAGTGGATGTACAGACTCACAACTTTCAGTCAGATGACCTTGGTGGAAGTCTGATGTAGTCCCACAAACAAATAAACAGTTTGATACTTGACTTGGAAAGCCATGGTAAATTGATGACACAATACAACTTTTCATTTCAACAGGTGGTGACTTTATTTCGACAAGTATGGTTATGGCAGATCTGACCTTTTCGAGGATCATTCTTCAGATTTGCCTGATGTAATCAAATTTGTTTGCTTTCCATCATCTTGTGGTGCTATCAGAAAGTTCCCGCACTGTTATATTTGTAACTGCTTGGATGAAAGAAAATGTTCTTTAAGCCAGACAGCAGTTTTTGAATGGCATTCAGGTTTCAAGGCCAGTTGAGTGTCAGCTGAAGATGAATGTTCAGGGCGACCAAGCACCAGCAAAATGACAGAAAATGCGAAAGAGTTCGAGAACTCGTTCATGAAGACAGTTGCTGAACAATCCTTGATCTCGCATATACCGTTGCATTCAGTTATGGAGTTTGCCAGATGTTAACAGAAAATCTGAACATGCGCCACATTGCCATGAAGTCTGTTCCCCGACATGATGCACCTGTCCAGATATCCCTGAAAACCAGTTTGTGACCAACAACATGATTATTGTTCCCCATCCTCCCTACTTGCTGGACTTTGTTTCCCAAATTGAAAATGAAAGCGAAAGGATGACATTTTGAAACAGTGTCTAATATCCAAGGGGAATCACAAGTGGTACTTGACAGCATTAAGGAAAATAACTTCCATGGTGCTTATGAAGCTAGGAAAAAATTATGGCATTGCTGTATACATTCCCAAGGAGACTATTTTGAAGGTGATGGCAGCCAAAATTGAATAAGTTAAGCCAGTATTTCTTTTTTCACCTAGTTGTGTGAGTACATATTGTTTTCCCCAGGCCAAGCTTTATTCAAGGCAGTGAGCTGTCATTTGTCAGCATTGAAACGGAACGTCAGAAAGTATTGTCACATGGCAATTACCACAGGCCTACAGAAAACTCAAGTGTTCAGACTGTATTCTATACATATTTACAGTCACATTAACCCATCTTATTATATGAGGCCAACTTCGGTGCACTGAATTACTGTCAACTTAACCTCGCTCCCAAAGCGATAGGTTGAGCCATCTTCAGCTGTTCTCGTTCTTGACGTTTCTGCTGTTGCTCCATTAGTCTCCGCTGCCTCTCCAAACGGCGTTTTTCCTTCAGAATTGTATCAGAGTCCCAGTCTTCTTGAGCTTGATCTTCCCACCCAGGGCTATCTTCCCAGGTTCCAAGGTCTGGTGACTAAAACATAGGCATATATAACAGGATCTTATTTTTACTGGTAAGTTTAATCTTTTAAACTCAGATGCATGAGACTACAAACAATGATAACTGTTTTCTGTAACACCAGGGTTAAGTTCAGGTACTTGTGGAACATGACAATAATGGGAATATTTGTTGGAGGGACAGGCCCTGCCCTATTAGGGGCCAATGTCTTCCATTCGGTTGCTCAAAACCTATGTAGGTCGTACTGAAAGTCATGAGCAACATTTTTTTGCATGCAACCTGGGAACAGCAGACGAAAGAGAGTACGGGGGTAGGTGGAACCAGCTCGTGTTAACCTTGAGTGTCTTGTGACGTCAATAGCTTGCATCACATGACCAGTGTCACTCCTAACAAAATGGCCAACAATGATATGTTGTTTCACCAGCGTGCTGTCATCAAATTTCTTGTAAAAGAGGAAATTCCTGATGCAGAAATTCACAAGAGACTTCAGTGTTCTTACGGAGGTGTGTGCATGGGTGCGAGCAGTGTTCAAAGATGGGTGAGACATTTTTTAAAGATGGGAACACCAGCATTGAAAATGAGCCTCGGAGCGGTCGTCCTTGAACAGCCTCAACTGAACGCAAGGAAAGAGTGGATGAGATCATTGAAGATGACAGGCATGTGACTGTGGACATAATAGCCCAAAAACTTGGAATAGGGCACAGTGCAGTACAGGAGATGATTAAAAGCTTGGGCTATAGGAAAGTTTATGCTCGTTGGGTCCCACGGTTATTGACCGAAGACCACAAAGTTCAGCGAAAAGCCATCACCTCAGAACTGCTGCAGAGATATCAACATGAAAGCGATGACTTTTTGCTCTGTATTGTGACAGATGACGAAAGCTGGTTTCACCATTTCGAGCCTGAAATGAAACGGCAGAGTATGGAATGGCACAATTTGCATTCTCCGTCAAAAAAGAAGGCAAAGACAGTGCCATCAGCTGCGAAGGTGATGGGCACAGTGTTCTGGGATGCAGAGGGGTTTATTCCAGCCAAATTCCTGGAACGTGGGCAAACCATCAATGCTATTTGTTATGTCCAGATGCTGCACAAGCTCCGTCATACATTGTGCGATAAACATCCGGGACCAAACATCATCATTCTGCATGACAATGCTTGCCCCCATGCCACTCGCCTCACATTGGAAGCAATTGCAAAGATGGGGTAGGAAGTTCTTCCACATCCCTCCTATAGCCCTGATCTGGCACCCTCCGACTACCATCTTTTCAGATTTGTGAAGTATCAGCTGCGTGGACGTTTTGAGACAAGGGAGGCAATTCACAAAGCAGTGCATCAGTGTCCTTGGATGGCTGGAACTGAATTTTACAGAAGAGGAATTTTCAAACTCCCGGAGTGCTGGGGGAAATGTGTACAAAGAAGTGGCGATTATGTGGAAAAATAAAGAACAGTCTGTAGACTGAGGTGGCGTATTTGGTTGGTCAATAATAAAGCATGTTACTTTCCAAAAAAAATTGTTGCTCATGACTTTCAGTACGACCCTCGTATTTCCCTTCCACAGCATCACAGCCTAAAAGACAGCAATATTCATATTCACCACTGTAGATGTTTTCTGACTATGAATGATATGATTAAAACTGTTTCATGTTTCATTAATATTTTGGCACTTTAATGGCTAATACAATGGAACTCTCACTTAATGTTCCTCAATTTAAGGTTTTCACTCATTTAGAATTTGATTTCAGTGAAACCATAATAATCTCAGTGTTAAACTACTTCTATTTAAAACTGTTCTCAGTTCAACATTCAAATCCACTGCTCCAAAAATAAATCGTACATGGTGGTTTTCCTGAATATTGTAAAATGCTCACTTCCTACAATGTTAATATACAAGGTGCCACTGGTTGGACTCTCTACAGCTTTTCCTCATCAAACTAACAGCCTTTTTAGGACATCTGGTCATACAATGACACTGCCTATTAAAAGTAAAAGTAAAAAGTAAAGCTATCCCTGTACCAGGCCGTGAAGGCCCATAGGGTTGTGAGATGTTGAGGGAACCGCATTATCTACACAATTGGCTCAAAGATGGCAGTAAGGTTGTAAGCCTTTCTACATATAATTCCTACCTACCATGTTACCTAAATGACATGGGGGGGGGGCAAAATACTTCCTGAGTAGCTAATAGGTACTTAGATAGTCAAAAAATTCCCACCCTTTTATGGACACTGAAGGTTTATTATTATGTTGAAAGAACTATCAACTGGACTCTATCTTAAGCCACAGGATTCTAGTCCACATCCTTAAACCCTATTTATTTAATTTATTTATATACTGCAGATAGAATTAACACATTTTTTAATCAAATAATATCACTATATTATTTATTTTGTGGTCTAAAATATTTCACTTACCATCATGAGGTCTGAAACATCAAATATGTGACATAAACATTACAATATGCTATTTAAATATCACTGAGCTTATACAATATCACCTAGCAATGAATTTTTAAAACTGCTGAAATTATTATATTATCACGTGTTGGGTGTATAACGCGACAAATAACTTCACACCTTATTTGATATAGCGAATTTATTCCACTCGCTCTTACAATCACACAATTTACAATCTGACAATTACTGCCATTGGCAGTATCACAAATACTCCGATGAAAGATGGACAGTTATTGACTGGTTAACTGACTCCCTGGCTAACTCATAACTAACTGACTCACTGCTGGCTAACTTGTAACTGGCTGTGAATAGTCTTCGCTTCTCCTTATTTAGCCCTGTTATGGACAACACAGAAAACAGTTACGTAATAGGCACCACTGTTATCTGACACCGTGTTTGCCGATAGCCTAGCAACGCTGTAGGGAGTTGTTTACTGCTACGCAGCAACAGCGGCATCCCTTGGTGTTGACTGGCCTATTACCATAGCAACGGCAACACTCCCAAAGTGTTACATCACCGCTGGCGGGGTAGGGGAAGCAGTGTCGACTTGCCTGTTACCGTAGTAACAACATCACTCCAATGCCGCCACGTCACCGCTGGGGAGGGAGCGGGTGTCCTCCATAGCACAACATGTCACAATATTATGGAAAAGGTAAAGCTACACCCTTAACAAGCCATGGAGGCCCAAGTGAATCATTGAGGCTTCCACATTTTCTAGAAAATCGGCTCACAGATGGCGGTGAAGTTCTCAGTCTCATGCACTGGCCACCCTTTACCCCCAGGAAGATTCCTTGTATTCATTTCTGTTAGAGGTTGAGTTGACCCCATGGCCACAGTGCAGCTAGGATTAGGGCATTGAAAAATCCAATGACCTCATCAGGAATTGAACCTGTGACATTCCAGCTTGTAGCATAGTGCCTCAACCAACTCTGCTACCATGTACCCCCTATATTACATAAATTTACTTATTTTTTTATTATATGCCTGTATCCATTTTTCTCTTCTCCATAGTGTTCAGACTGGCTCTGCCCCCCACCTCCAGGCTCCTATCGAAGGAGGGTGGGGGAGGGCTGTTTCCCCATGGTAAAGTCGCAGGAGCATGAAACTGTTCATTCATCTCCAGCGAGTGCCAAGGTCAAGAGTGGTGGAGCTATAACTTCATTTTCCCATACGTCTTCAAGGCATGGTGCTTAATTCATGAGGCACAAGAACAAATTTACCTCACCTTTACCCTTACCACTAAAATGCAATACTGTCATGTTATGATCTACAGGTAGTTATGATTAGCCTAATGCATTCTATAAAAATTGAAAGCCTATATATCCACATGGTAGCATTTTGGAATCTCCTTCCACTGTCATTTATGGTTCTAGAAAAGCATACTTCTTTCCATGCTCCCTTATGCTAACTTGCTAGACCCTCTACAACTACTGTAGAATTTCAGCATGTTTTCCATTTGTATGTAAAATTTTTCACTAAAGGTCAAATGGATAGAATCGTGCACAAGCTATGCATGATCTGCTTTGCCTATTTTTGGCTGTATAATGAAGGAAAAATTTTCTGTCAGATGATCTGTTCGGTCAACATAGTTGAATATATCTAAAGGAACCGCAATTAGATATAGCAGGCAGGTGGCATATTATGGCCAGAAATTATTTTATAATGCAAAACCACTTTGAGAATTAGTGGGTCTCTTATTTCTTTTTACAGTAAGCATAAAAGCATAATTTTTCTGTCTAATTATTTTCAAACACTACACTATGTTAACACAATAGTCTCTGTTCATAAGAACAAAGTTAATTTATTTCGCTGACCATAAAGGTTGTATTAGTTACAGCACTTTTAGTAACATGCCTAAAATTAATCATAAGGACAATTAAATGCTGGCCAGCTCCACCCTTGGACCATTTAAATACCCATGAGGTTAAGGATGAAAATTAACTTAATACTCACAGTAAATGAGACTGGATCCATCTCCAATGTGAGACGAGGAGAGATAGGATCACTTTGAATAGGTGTTTCCCTCTCGTCATCTTTTAAAATAATTTTTGTCTGTTTTGTAATTCGAGGAGCCATATCCTAAAATAAAAAAGAAAATGGTAATCAGTTTCATCATGGTGTGTCTCTTCAAGGAAGGTATTACATGCACATATGTCTGGAAGCACATGGAGGTCATTTCCGGTATTTTCTGTAGCTTGTACAGTGTGGTCGCATTTTACATGAATTTGAACTAGTGCAATATAAAAAATATTAATAAAGTCTCAATTTATGTCCTAATTTTGGAATAATGTGAATCAGAAAAAATGCAGCAAGAATTACATATGTGTTTCCAAACTTGCTTTGAATTATTCAAGGTCTTCAGGTACACATCCTTGCATAAAATGTGACCATAATGTATAAACAGTAAGACGTACAGAGTAATTCTAAATTATTGTGGGGGTTTCAGTTCATAGGCCACAGAAAACCTGACAATAAATTAGAACTATCCTGAATTTTAAAATTTACTGCAAGTGCACAGTGATTTATGGTCCACAGCACTGCTGTATTAACAAGTTGTTCCATGGGTTTACTATTCATATGGTATAAGGGGGATGAAAAGTACTATCTTGGTGAAAGTTTACTAATGTTTCAGAGGAAAGTGCTGTTTCCAGCTTCAAGGTTCAAGAGCAGGTAGTAACTCTTTACAGTCACTGCCATGAGAACCTCAAATCTCAGACAGAAGTAGTGTTTATAAATGAAGCACAAAATTTCAAGATGCAGTGGAACTTTCTCAAACTGCAATGGAGCCACAGATAACAAGCAAATCTGAGCTCATTGTCAGGTTCATTGTCACCTACAATTTTACAGGTCCTTTCCATAGTGCTCCAAGTGGGGACTATTTCCCTGCATGATTGCTGACACTACTAGTGTGTACAGCAAACAAAGCCATGGTGGGATTTTCAGCGTTTTTTTAGCCTATATTCCCTATTTTGGAAAAACAAAAGACAGCAAGACACAATGCTGTGTCTACTTCTGTTTAAAGTAACCATGTATGTAAAGAAACTAATGACTTCATTTATTTTGTATAGTGGTAAGGTAAAAAGGTAAAGCTATCCCTGTAACAGGCTGTGGAGGCCCATAGGGTTGTGCTTCCACATTTTCTAGACAATCAGTTCACAGATGGGGGTGAGGCTGTAAGTCTTATGCACCGACTGCCCTTTACCCACAGGAAGATTCCTGGTACTCATTTCTCTTAGAAGCTGAGTCAACCCCAGGACTATAGTGCAGCTGGAAGGATTAGGTCAATTGAAAAACCACGTGAACTAATCAGGAATTGAAATCACAACCTTCAGGCTTGTGACATAGTGCCTCAACCCCAGGGTTGTGCTTCCACATTTTCTAGACAATCGGTTTACAGATGGGGGTGAGGCTGTAAGTCTTATGCACCGACTGCCCTTTACCCACAGGAAGATTCCTGGTACTCATTTCTCTTAGAAGCTGAGTCAACCCCAGGACTATAGTGCAGCTGGAAGGATTAGGTCAATTGAAAAACCACGTGAACTAATCAGGAATTGAAATCACAACCTTCAGGCTTGTGACATAGTGCCTCAACCCACTATGCTACCCTGTGCTCTGCTCAGTAAGTGTTCCTGAGGCTGAGTCAACCCCAGGGCCACAGTGTGGCTGGAAGAATTAGGTCAACTGAAACATCCAACAACATCAGGAATCAAACTCACAATCTTCCATCTTGTAGTACAGTGCCGCAATCAAATATGCTATTATTATTATTATTATTATTATTATTGGAGGGGGTGGGTTTCCCCATGCACTGCGACCAGTTGTTGATCTATTGTGTCCCCCCCTTTAATTTCTACTGTCA